ATACTAAAAGATAAAGTTACTTAAAAATGTCGACTATAGTTCTAAGCATAGAGTTATGGGAACAAAAAGCTGAAATGCGCATTTTAAAATACTATTCCGTATCCTTCAGATGTATTATAAAGTTACTTTCTATGAGTTCGGGGGCAGGAAAATAATCTACGACTTTTGTTTCACCACAAGATACACTTTCACTATGACTTTACTCCACTTTCTCTGCCTTTTTTACTTTTTCGTACTTCTTCCCAATCTTTACTTACTTTCCAAATTCAACTGATCTCTAGACACACACACCCTGCCGGCCTTCTTAAATGCCTATACATTCTAGTGCTCGAAAATTGAAACTCCTTCTAGTAATTTAGAATATTTAGTTCCTCTCTCACTCTTACACACGGCAATTTACGGTTAACTTTTAGTAATTTCGATGCTTCTCTGGAAATTATTTGATAAATGTCTTAGGATATATAAAGCATGCTTCAGAGGTGTCTTTTTACTTATTACTTTTAGTGTAACGACGTTACATCCTCTCCATTACGCGACAATTAGGTACATTAGACCATTACCATTTACAGTGATAAAAGAAGCTTGATCTTACACAAAGATCTAACTTCTACCCGCCAGCGAATATCAAATACAAAACAATTTTGTCTATGTTTTTAAAATAACAAATTTATATTCACATGGTTTATTTCACTGTGAATTAATAATAAACAAGTGTCTGAATAATTTTAGTAGCAAATTGAAAAATTAAATGTTAATCGGTTATCCGCAGCAAAATAATGTGATAACAAAAACATTTAATTTGATGTTTATGAATTAAGCGATTACGTTACCTACATTACATTATCAATAAAATTATACTTTGTCAAAAAAAGCATCATGCAGACATTTAATGGGAATTAATTAAGTTATCCATTGTAGGCTTCGGAGTTCGAGACATCCATCTCTCCCTACAAGTAGTGTGCCACCCTTTTCTAATTTCTAATGATTGTGATTTCCTAAAGTTTCATTGCAATATACAATATCCGAAGTAACATTAGGTAGTAGCTCTAGACAAACAAAAACAAATCTATCCCACGGAAACCGTACATTTTTCCGGGATTAAATGTAACCTATTTGTTATTCTGATGTGATGTTCTCCTGATTGATTCCGACCACGGCGGCCAATCTCATTGATACTAGCCAACTGCGCAGGAGATATTATAGTCCCGCTTAGGGCGGCGGGTGGTACCGGAGAAATCTGGCGCGGACCAAATGGCTTGAGTGGGGCCGCTCGTCTAGGCCTCGAGCCGAAGACGTTGCGGCCACCGGTGATGGGACCGCTTGGTCCCACAACCGGATGATGGGTGCCGGTTGCGGGACTGTGGTCGCAGGCCAGCATCCGACGGAGGTGTAGGCTGCGGCGGGCAAGGAATGCCGGTATTTCGGTGCGCCGTTCTCCCTACCTTCCGCGGCCTAGACTGGGCCGCCACCGTTTGATGGCGGACGAGGTGGGGATGCAGGGGAAGAGGAGTGTCGGTGTATCGTTGCCGCTCTCCCTGTCCTCTGCATCCAATTGGAGGTGGCCCACTTCGGTGGGCGGTGTTTGGTTTAATGGGGCTGCTCCGGGTACCTCTCTGGTGTAGCAAAATTAATTGTGGAGCAGCCCCATTGGTTTGGTGGTCAGCCTAGCGCTTAGGCAGACCCGCCGCCGGGGCGCCGTAGTAGTTATGCGCAAGTGATCCTGCGGCGTCCCATTAAGGCAGAGGGGAAGGGAATGTCGGGTTTTAGTGGGTAGTACCGGCTCTTCTAGCCGGTGAGCCCCACATCAGCACCTGGGGGATCAGGTGGTATGCGTAAATGCTTTTCCCGACACAAAAAAAGGAGATATTATAGTGCACAAGTGTACATGCAGACACAAGTGCACTCTCTATTCCTGTGACTCTCATACTCTGGTTGGACAACCACTCGACACGACCAGTGAGAGTTAAGGCGCTCGACCGACGGCTTTAAGTGCTCTCCGAGGCACGGGGGTGAACCACCGCAAACTTCCCAACTCCGGGCTGTTACTGAGGCTTACTATACAGAAAAACTCAATAACTAAACTTGGCTCGACGTGGGACTCGCACCCAGGACCAGGGTGTGCAGCCGTACATGCTAGCCACTACACCACCGAGGCAGTTACCAATATACGTAAGGATAAGGCTAATATTCCTTTTGTCGTAGGCTTTACCACAGAAGGGCTCAGGTCCCTGCTGCATACCAAGAGCACCTCTCTTGCAAGCTCATCGGCACGTTCGTTGCCAAAGATGCCAACATAACTTCGTACCCATCTTAGAACTACTCTATTTCTATTTCCAAGAGCGCTTAATGGATCCATGCACTGCTCTACTAGTCTTGATGGAACTGAGTCTGGCATTATTTTGATGTAAAACGGAATATTTGTTTATCACTTACTTTTATGAGTTAAGGTTATTCCCGTAACCATTCTGCTTGTAACAGTGCCGAAATATCGGGATCATTAATAACTCTCAAAAGTAAGTGTAATATTTTACATCACAATAACGTTGTCAGTGACCATGAAAGCAGCAGCTTAATGGCTGTCCGAATTAATATAGATAGTCTGATTGATAAAGTGCTTACGCACATTAGCTTCTGCACATTCTAGTAATAATTACCATTCAGCGAAGAATAAGCAAAAATATATACATAGTTAAATAGTAGAGCAGCTACGAGTACTATTGATCCAGCACTCTGTTATGGGAGAAATTGCAACTTGGCTATTTATTCACTTTAAAATGAAATATATGTATTATTTTAACGTTTTGTTGGCTTCGCTTAGCAACTAATTACCTAAGTAATCAAATCTTGTCCACGATTTGAGGAAGGCGATTATATAACAATCTGTTAATTCCTTTTACGTATCAATTTTAAACTTTTAAAATATGTAATAACAGGTGACGTTATATTAATCTGTTGTCTATCTAATGACGTAGCCAGGAGGTGGATAATGAATCTCCTCAATAAGTACCTACTTACTAATAAAACCTTCGACTTTGGGCTCATTTGATTGTTTGGACGAGCCTCATACATCCTTAAAACGCAGTTAGTCAAAGTGTAGTTTTTAAACCTATTTTTTGATATAGGCGTCTTAAAATTGTATATTTTATTATATATATTACATAAGTATACGTCACCTAAACTAACAAGCATAGGAAAGATACCGAAATGTTTAACTCCAAACTATCAAGATTTTTACTAGGCCTATAGTTCCTTATGATATGTTCTATATACTATGTATTGAGTTTTCCTAAGTTGCAGAGTGACCACCGAAATTAATCAATAGTCGTGGGCCGCGGTTGACTTCAGCCTACTAGTTTACTTTTACAATGTAACCATATTATAAGTAGGTCCCATGTAACTATATTAGATATTAGTCCACATTGTAACTACATACCTCTTTTTCACATTAATGTAGTAAAATAAACAAAATAACAATTGAAATTTTAGTAACGTTGTAAAAAATTTAAATAAAGATAGATAGATGTTTTTAGAATGCATTATTCAATATTTACTATAATTTGTTACGATACGCCTGAATAAATTTAGACAACATTGTGAGTACTAGCGAGTGTACAATACTGGCGCGAAAATAGTGGTTCGTAGCTATTATAATAAATTCTATACTAACCATATTACCTACTGAATCTATCGGTAGGTAACTATTATATAACAGGGACTGCACGATCGGTTGGTAGTATAGAAATCTTAAAAAGAGATGGCAATACGTCATAGTGTGTCTGGTTGGGTTCTCTCTCTCTCTCTCAACCTTTTATACGTAGACTAACGAGTAACGGTATGTTATGAAATAGTTATAGTGGCTTATATGTATGTATACAATGCTACGCCTTGATCTCGAAAATTCCAGAACAAAATGGCGAAGTTGGCGTCTAACTTTTTTTAAGTCAAGAAACAACTTTTATCTTTCAGGACTAACATAATGGTTTTATTGTATTATTTGTTTATATATATTTATATATTGCATTATTTATGTATAGATATAGGAAAATTGAATTATATTTTAAAGAAACTTGAAAAAAATAAAATATGAGTAATGGTAAATAAAATGTCAGTTTACTTACAATGGTCTTTTTTATTAAATAAAAAAAATACATCATTTCAGTTCTATAAGTACGTTAACAATTTAGTAAATTTTTACCAAATCAACACTCCAGTCTAACCTGAGATCAGAATTAAATAAGACCGATGTGTTTTGCAAATTTGTATCCAAAATGCAAGCATTTTGGCGGGAGTCGAAAGGGTCAGCGGTTTAATCGATACATTCTTATACACTTAAATTTTAAAACTACAATACAATCTTAACTAACACCTTACATCGTACATCATAATTGATTTACATTTATCATTAATGTCTACCTAAGTTATATTATAATACATCTTTCTGAAATAAATTCAGATGATAATAAGTATTACATATTATTTAAATAAATTAGGCAGACAATAATTTATAGTTGTCACAGATTATACAAGAACAAGTTGCAAATAAATTACTTATCATTGATTAATGGAAACTAATGCCTAACTTGCGCATTCATACCTTTCACTACCTATTATACAGCAATGTTGCAGATCTTAGCTTTTGAAGGTTTATATTTGTGACATAAAAACCACAGCACACAGTCACAGTTACATAGGGATGCTAAAACATTGAGGGATATAAAATACTTATAACATGATTATTTGATTTTTACATTGAATTTACAACTTACATTGTATTTTATTTATTCCTTTTTCAGTTTTAAAAATAACACATTTGCTTGGTTAATGAAAATAGTCACAAAATCTCTCATCTCTCAACATTATTATTGTAAATGTGTAATGGTATTAATAGCTCATTTATTTACACAATACTGCCTGAAAAAATGGAAGTGCACACTGACGAAGACGTTGGGCAAAACATGACAGCTCTAATTCAGTACTCACACTTCCAGATGTTAATGTTATTTGCCCTTTGCAGTGATAGTCACTGATGATTTAGCAGGTTGAGGTATTATTGTGATCTCATCGCTTATTTTGAGTGGTTTGAGCAAAGGATCAGTTTCTGAAGTCTTAGTAGGTGGGGTGGAAGTCTTACTTTTGTCTATAACACGTTTTGCCACAACACTATGGGCCGAGTAAACATGATTTTCAAATTGCTTGTACATACCAAATGTTGCAGTGCATACAGTACATTTATAGGAAAGATGAGCTGGTTTTAGAGTCATATTATGATCTTTGGACACATGATTGAGCAACTTCCACTGATAAACACGTCCACACACTGGGCATCTACCAGCGTCTTTCCCTTTGTTAGCTGCTTCTTGCATGGAGCTTGTAACAAGACCATGTGCACCCAATAAATGCCTCTCCAGGCCCTGGTCAGTAAAGAATCTAAACTGACATTTTTGACAGTTTAATGGAGGTCTGTTATAAATCATCTTAGGGTGAATCTTAACCTTGTGTATCCACTGCATATGATTTCGTAATTGTTCCAAATCTTTGATATATCCATCGCAAATTTCACAAATAACAAAAGTAGCTTTGGAGTTTTGTGTAGAATTAGATGAGGAAGGTTGTGGTGCACGAGGTAGAGGTGTAATAGATATCTTAGGGGTCGCAGATGATGATTGGTTTGCTTGATTATTTTGTATAATTGGATAATTAGAAATTGTGGTCCCACTGGCTGGAGTATTGTGCATAATCATTACACCACTGCGAATAATAGGCACTCCCGAGACAGGTGCGCGAGCAGGGCCTGCTAACGGTGGCCGGCCTCTCGGTCGCCCCAGGACTGGCATACTCGGAATAGGAGTGTTGGACATAGTCAGAGGCGGTCGCCCCAGAGGACTTATCCCCACCTGCGATCTATTGAAACTCGACTGATATGCTCCAACGACGCTATTGCGCGCTCTAGATAACTTTGGTATTTTTGCTGGTGGCTCCCATTCGAGAGGAGGCCCGAGATTAAATTCAGGTTTAAATTTTTTAGCACATGCTATAAGATGACGTGCCAATTTTGTTTTGCTATTATCTTCAAAATGACAATTAGGGCACTGCTGGTAAGCTGGAGCCCTTTCGAGTCTCCCTCTGATATTGTGCTCAGCTTCCATGTGGTATAAAATATCATGAGGACTTCTTATTTCAAATGGACATGTATTACATTTATATATATTGTTTTTCATATGGGGTGCTTCTAAGTGATGAGACATAACTAAAATAGATTCAGTTTTAAAACTACAAAATTCACATCGTTTTTGTTCGAGTGCATATGGAGCATTGAGTTTTTTACTGTACGCTAAATTCTGGGTTAGAGATGCGATAGCAGTTTCAGTAGCTCTAGTGCTGCGACCTGATTTCTTTTCCTTATACAGCTTTCTATTTTGTGTTTTTAACAAATCACTTTGAACATATTCTTGCACCAAATTAATACCAATGTTTATAAAAAACTGACCTAGAGAACAATCAAAATAACTATCTGATTTTCCACCAATACCTTTAATAATCATATTAATTGGATCTTTTACATCTTCTATACCATCATCTTTGTCTTTAATAACCACAGTCTCATCATCGCTCAGACCTTCTTCCTCAGATTCACTGGAAGACTCACCATCCCAGGAATCATCATCTTCTTCATTTCTACGTTTTCGATGCTGCTTTTTCTCTTCTTTTAATTTCTTTTCTTTTGCAAGTTCTTCTGCCTTTTTAGCCTCAGCTTCTATATCATTTTCCTCCTCAATCTCTTCCCCTCTTTCAATTCTTTCTTTTTTTAATTTCTCTTTTCGTTCTTTCTCTGCTTTTTCCTTTTCTAACTTTTCCTGATCTTCTTTTATCTTAATTTCTTCTAACTCTTTACCTAACTTGTCCACAAACTCCCTAAAAGGTTTTACAGATGGTTTTTCATACACATAAGGAACAATAAATGAAGGGGCTTCTACTACAAACATATCATCTGTCAAAGATGGTAAAATATTAGTTTGAGGAGAAGGTGTACTATTTTGCTGCTGACTAACTCTGGAATTTGAATTAGTGATGGATTTGCAGCTAATAGGAGTAATTGTGGTGCCACGAGCAGCAATACTTTGACACAAATTCTGAGCGTCAATAATGCTTGAATTTGTTTTGTTTTGTACTGGTGTAGAGCCTTTGCCAGATAAAATTGAATTTGTGTCAATAATAACAACAGTAGGCTCCTTGTTTTGTTCCCCATCATTTGAATCTGTTTGTTTTGATGCCAGTTCTGACAAATTCTTTGTGTCATTAATTACTATAGGTTTAGTCTTACTATGAGATTGATTTAAGGGATCTTCAATGGTAACTTCCTCAACATCCGATTCCTCACCACCATTTTCTAGTGGTTGTTCATCTTTTTCTTTATCTCGATCTTTATTGCTTTGTTGTGATCCTTCTGAACTGTCATTTGATTCAGTACTAGAATTTGAAGATTCATCATCATTAGTCACTACACAATCTTCCTCATCACTAGTAATTTCATGGACTTCAGGACTACCAGATTCTCCATTTTGATTTTGAGGCTCATTTTCATTTTCTGACTCACTTGTATCATCTTTTGGGTGGCTTCCCTGTGATGTATCATCATCACCTTCTGTGCGTTCATCTGTAATTAAGAAATAATGTTGTTTATTGTACACATATTTTTATTTCATAAAATATGTTAATATTGTTTCAAGTTTTATATTAAAAATATGAAATAATAATACAATTTTATAAATTACTTGAATGTACAAAATACTATTTAGATTCTAGGAAGATTAACTTCATTTCATTTGTGAATATAAATGTGAAACAAATTAATACAAAGAATAAGCTTTATAGCAATAATTTAAAACAAACACAACAAACAAAGATTTTTTTATTACAGACTTCTACATTAAAACACTATTTTATAGTTACTTTACTAACAGAATCTACAAAAAAAGAAGTAGGTTTGCGTATATTTTATTTATGAGTACGACTCGAATGTACTTATCCGGCGTCAGCACTCAGCAGACGCCAGAAAGTAAAAAAAAAAGTATAATATAATATTAACCTAACGTAATTTACTTTACATTTAACCTATAAATTAGGTCAATAAAAAAACGTATCCGCCTAATTCTAAGAAAGACCTACAAAAGAAATATATTTTTTCGTTATGTAGCGTCATTAAATCATGTGGAGTAAGGACCGCCATATGGGATTCCATGGCATTACTCCGAAAACATAGTTCCATCATGTTTGATTACAAATATAGTATAACACAAGATATTTCAAATATAGTTCTGCGTAAATAATTAGTGCATGTACCTGTAGCTGTTGATATAGACATTTTCTTAAGATTTTTAACGAAAAACCAAAAAAATAGCACAATAGCACAGTAGCGGAAACCAAACCAAATCAAGCTGTCAATTTAAAAGGTTTTTAACAACGTCATTTTCCACGGATAGAATAGACGCCGCCGCTACTTTTATAATAACATATCAAAATTTCAATTTATTAAGATAATTTTGTTCTCAAAAGGTGATATTAATATTTTAAATAATAACTTTCTTAAGATATCTGTAATATTAATAATATTTTTCACAATATAAAGGTTGCACACGAACGAAAAATCGACACAGAAAAGACCTTTGCTTAAAAAGAGGGGAGTGAGAGATTTCGGCGGGGAAAGGACGCGGTATTATAGTGAGAATAGGGAAGAGAGAAAATATAAATTAAGGAGATCGTCTTTATGGTTAAATATAGATATATAATACTACTTTTATAATAATATTTACGTATACACATACATTACAATCATAATATTAGTAACATTTTTAATTTATTCTCTCCACTAGACTTATTATTATTTTTATAATATTATATGCACATAATCGACAATAATATAAATATAATATAATTTACTTAAAATAAGAATAAGCTTTAACTCAAAAACCCGCCTGTTGTAAATTAAAAATTTCTAATTATGCGAAATAAAATTTTAAACAAATATGTGTTTAAAATACTTTATTTATATATAATAAGTATTATTATGAAGTGTAATAAAATGTACTTGTATATAATTAAATTATAATTAGAAAATATATAACCTTACATTATTTATAAAAATCTTAGTAAATACTTTAAATGTATTCGAGATGATACTTATATTCATGTGAAAAGGTGGACCTACACTCTCGATTCTTTCATATAAACACTATAAATAGGTACAATTTTAAAGTCGCGGAATGGGTAGTAGACCAGGGTCGATAATTGTTAAAACCAAAAAAAATAATAGTAGGATGCAACCCATTAGAAAAGGAGGGGAATATTATAAAAATGAAAGGAAAAATAATTTACGGGCGATCTGAGGTCGGAAAGGGGATGGGGGTTTAGATTTTTAATTTATAATATATTTTTTATACATTTTGACATTTATTTCTTTAATATTTTTTTTTCATGGGGTATACTCACGATAAAATAGTGAAGGCATTATTAATTCGATTTTGTCTTTTCAGATTATATATCAGTATGCATTAATCTGTTTGAATCATCTGCAATAAGGCAGATGATAAGCAAGTGTATGAAATAAAAAAGGTTTTTTGTTTTTTGTATTTTCTCAGAAGATTTACTATAGTAACATATAATTTTTTTTTCACCATCGGAAAGTAGAGATTTCAACGAACAGAAAACATACCAACTTTTTGAAAAAAGCTGATATTTTGACGGGTGAATTTTCGATTGAAAATGAGGGTGCTTTTTCGATATTAATTCAAAATAAGGTGAAAAAATAAATATTTTTAATCAAATAAATTACAGCGTATTTGGGACATAAAAAGGTATGTTATCACTAAATTTCGTAAAAAAAATTTTTTTTGTAAAAGATAAAAATAAAAAACCAAAAACTTGGTTTTTTGATTTTTTCACATAAATTTTGAGGTTATATGAAAAAAGTGTAAATACAAAGTAAAAGTAGTAAAAGTTTTAGATCTTTTTATTACCTACAACTTTGCCATATTACTTTTTTTGATAGGACTTTTAGTTTTGCCGGAAATCGAGAAAAACCGTTTTTTACCCTTAAAAACGGACCCCCATCCCCTTCCCGACCTCAGATCGCCCGTAAATTATTTTTCCTTTCATTTTTATAATATTCCCCTCCTTTTCTAATGGGTTGCATCCTACTAATTTTTTTTTCACTTTTTATTATTTTTAAAGGCTTCTACCCTGGTCTATAGATAAGATTTAGATAATTAATTAGGTAGGTCTACTTACCTGAGCCGTTACGAATTAAGTAACTCTTTATTAGTATAAATACCAAGTTTTATTGTAATTAGGTACTTAATAAAAATTAGTCTTTAAACTATCGCCGAATAAATAAGTCAATTAGAAAAAAAATCGAAAAATAATTATTGGACTTCCCATAAAGTTAAGAAACAGCTCGTAGAAATGACTGGAGTATCAGATTGAAAACTTTAAAAAAAGTAGAATTGAAAACAATTTGAAATGAAAATGAGCCTCAAATCTCATCTCCTGCATCTGTGTTCAACCAGGATTCTATTTATTGGCACAAAAAAGGCCTACACCTACCTAAGAAGTTTAAGGTGTCACAGTCGGCTAGAAAAATCATAGCAAGTCTTTTGTGACTCAAGCAGGTAACATAAGTTGATCTTGATCATTGATGAAACTCCTGCACGACAATGCGCCTGTTGCGATATGGCCGCCCTGCAGATGGTTTCGAAATTTTAGTTTGCCCACCACCTTACAGTCCTGATCTCCCTCCCAGAGATTATTGTCTATTCCCAAATAGTTTCAGCGTATTTTTCAAACTAAGATAAATAGTTTTTTTTCGAAATTATTGGTAGATACATAATGTTATTGAAAGATCAGAAAAATGTATTCGGGTAGCAGGTGAATATATTGAAAAAGAAAAATAGAAACTTATTTTTATTTCCACTTTTTATCATCCATTCCGCGAATATAAAAACGTAAGATAAGTCCTTGTAACATATGTGATAAGACTAACTTACTTCATGAGAAAAATAGACATCATGAACAAATTTCTTCATGGATTTGTCGGGAAAAGCCCATGGTACTATAAAAAACAGGCCGATTGTGAGGATGAACTGTATTCATTCTCACGTCACATACCCAGAAATCAAAATCTCACGATCAATAGAGGTGCAGTAAGCTCATAGAGTATATTGCTACATATACAAAAGTAAGCTGCAAGTAAATCTACGAAGCAGCTCGCAACTAATGCACATTTCAAACATTCACATACTATATAGGTATACAGTTTCTGTGTATAAACGGATCCCTGACCATCCAGTATTATTATTTACTAGCAGAACTCGCGGCTTCGCTCGCGCTAAAACTAAATCTATAATATAAATCTCTAAATAGGTAGTTTCAAACAAACTTTCATCCCCTATTTTACCCCCCTATAGGATGAATTTTGAAAAATGCTAAGACACGTATTTATTTAATTTATTGAAGAGTATATGCCAAATTTTAAGTAATTTTTCATATTTTTTTTTTTATTTGGACAATACAGATAACGTGTTTTCCCGTCGGAATTAAGTAATCTCCCGCGATAAAAAGTAGCCTATGTCACTCTCCAGCACAGAGTACATTGGTATATACTAGGTCTCCAGCCCTCCAACTATCTCCACACAAAAAATCATGCCAATCCGTTACTCCGTTTAGACGTGAAAAAAGGACAAACAAACACACTTGCACATTTATAATATTAGTATGGATTACATTAAGGCAAAATAGAACGCCACGGGAGCGGCATCGTGTGAAAACTTCCATGTATTGTATTTTACATTAGTTGTCGTTCCTATCTGCACGTGGAACATACTTATTTAAGATAAAGTATTATTGGGGTCTTTATTAACGCAATAGAACACAAAACAATGATTTTTAGAATTTTTGTCTGTTTGTCTGTGCGTGCTAATCTCAGAAACGAATATTTAATGGGTGCGAAACGAACCACCTAGGGACGAACCTGAGCGAAGCAAAGGTGAGTTGCTAGTTTTATAATATGGATTACTTTAATTAAGATATCATTTTCGGATTTAGAATACTAAACAAGTTCTAAATTCGATTTTCTATAATTATTAAAATATGGATACTAAGAAAATCGAATGTTTAGAACAATTACTGTTACTAGCAATTATTTACTTTGCAAATAGACATTAGGCCAAAAAGGTAGTTATGTATTTAAAAAAAACTTATTGGCATTCTTGAGGAATAAAGGAGGTAAAGAAATATAAAAATAAGTACAAAGTTTATTTCAAACATTAATAAATAGGCAATCTCACACTTTTATAACAATTTTCTTAATTATATATTATATTACTTAAATCTATTGTGTATAGAATTAGAATTAAATATTTCATGCTTATTCATCGTCCTCTTCTAGAGGTTCTTCTTCAAGGGAATCATTGACAGCACCTTCAACTGGTTTTCTGATAACTCCCAACTCCTCTGCTGCTGCTAAACATTTTTCAGCATATTCTTTAGTACGTTTTTGTTCCGCCTCAATTAATTTAGTAAGAGCCATTAAAATTTCCATTACATCCGTTTCAAATATTTTAGCAGCAATATCTTTATCACCATTAATGATATTATAAAGCATATACACTCCTCTATATTGAATTTCATAATTTGGATTAGCTAATAAACATCTAAGTGATTCTACCCAAGACTGAAGATCAAGTAATTTTCTGCAACAAGTTTTACTAACAGATGTTAGCATACATAGTGCACCAGCCGCTGCCATAACTGTATCAACGTCTTCTTCCTGACATAGCAAGTATAAATATTTTGTTTTATCATTATTGCCTTCATATGTTTTTATAACTTCTTCTGATTGGACTAAATTGCATATACACTGTGCAGCAGCTCTCTGTAACATCATATGGTCTTCATATAAGTAGAGTTCTATTTTTGACAAACCCCCTTCTTTTAATATTCTGTTTCTAGTAGTTTCATTCATTCCAGCTAAATTACAAAGTGCCATCAGGGCTTCAAAGTTTTCCAATGCAGTACAATCAGGATGCAATAAGGACACTAGAGGTCTTACAACTTCTAAATTCCTTTGACCAGGGAATGCAACTTCTGGATTAATTGTAATTCCAATTCTAGCTAAAGCTTGTGCTGCTTGTTTCTTTCCGTTATTTGTACCTTCTAAAGCCATAGGAATCAAAATTTTTGCACCTCCTTGTTGTACTACAATACCTCTCAAATCTTGTAAACTGCATATAGCATTAAGCACTCTAGCAATAAGTTCTCTTGAATTATGACTTTCTGTTTTAGACAAAGCTACTAACCCAGATGTCACTCCAGCCTTACAAAGAACTGTTAATCTTTTGTTAACAAAATCGGGATCATCTAATTCATGTTGTTCTGGTATATGATGTTTTGCAAATTTAGCTAGCTCCAACATTTCAGGCATCATTTCCTGTTTTTCATATGCATTACATAAATTAACTAAAGTTGTTACTACACCATATAAGCAAGATTGATCTCCAGTTTTAGCAAGTTCAATAAGAGCTTGAATGGCTGGCTTGTCATCAACTAATTTTTCTTTCACATCTGCATCTAAGGTTAAATATGATAAGCCTTCAGCAGCCCACTTTCTCATATCTTTATCTTTTGCAGGATTTACTAAAAATCTTCTACAAGCTTCTGCTAATTTTTTTGTTGAACCATCTGCAAATGGACGAACAGATGCATCATCACCTCCAAAACTTCCAATTTTACATAAGCCTACAAGTGCTCTTACCCTTACAGCATCATTTTTACTAGAATATAAGCTCTTTAATATATCCACACCTTTATTAATAATAGCTCTTGCTTTATCCTTTTTGGATGCAGCAGCAATTAAACATTCACAAGCAACTTTCTGTTGTAATAAGTCTTCCGTTTGTGCCATAACTAAAATCATCTCCATGATACCTTCTTTAGAAATAACATAATTGCCAACATCCAGTGGTCCCCGAAGTAGTGATGTTATTGCTACTGTCACTCGTACTTTGGATTCTAAATCTGGAGTTAACAGTTTTTCTTTAATAAAATCGTCAATTTGATTATTAAAGTTTTCTCTAGCTTGGTCATAATACATATTTTCATAAATTCTTGCTAAGCAAGCAGCGGCTATAGTCCTAGATGAATCAGTTATATTCATTGCAGATTCATACTTGTATTCTTCTAATTCACTACAAACTTCAAGTAAGCGTTGCAGTCCTCTGATTTCTACAAACCTTTCCGCCCAGTTTAAAGTACTGTAGTGGCAATTTCTCATAATTAATTCAATGATTGCATCTCTAGATTTCCCAGTAATAACTCTATTAGTTATTGAATATGTAAGACATGTAAGGAGTGTATCAATTTCACTTTTGTATTGCTCACATAATAGTTTATCAGGTTTAGTTTCTTTTTTAGTATCCATTCCTGAAAATGTATTCAAAATTACCTGTAGACAATATTGGGCAGCAGTTACCCTTTCTTCATCTTCACTGTCAATAATTTCTAAGAACCAAGGAATGCCAACTACATTAATAATCTCCTTCGTGCGTTCAACACTTCTTTTACAAAGTTGTCCAATTACTCTTATAGCATTAACATATATTTCTAAATTCTTCTCCACCTTAACCAGTTTCTGAATTTTATGAACTACTCCATTTTTAACCATGATGTCAGCACCAGTTGATTCTTTAGATAAAACAAGTAAATTTGACATAGCTTTTTCACGCTTATCCTTATCTTCACTTAATTCAAAAGCAAGTTTAAACATTTGTTCCACCTTACTGCTTGTTTGTGCTGCATTTTTTATTCTTTCCTGAACAATCGCATAGAGGCGAGCCAAAACTGGTTGCACAGCTTTATTTGATGGGTCCACTCTAAAAATTGTTTTAGCATCTCTGTATGCTTCTTCAAATCTTTCTAGACTCTCTAGCGCTTGTGATCGACGAAACAAAGCCTTCGGATCTTCCGGAATAATTTGTAGGGCTTCATCACAATCCTTAATTACTTTATTAAATTCTTTCATTTTGAGATAAGCGGCAGCTCTATTTTTCAAATATGTAGCCAACTCACGCGTATCTTTTTCCGCTAAATTAATAGCTTTACTGTACAGTGATACGGCTTCCTTATAGTTTTCATTTTTAAAAGCTTCATTGCCTTTGTTTTTAAAACTCTCAGCTTCTGTTTGGTTGATCATTCTGTGTAGCTAGTTTTCACGTACGTTTAAAATTTTATTTAATATTACGACAGAGTTTCATCAGCGCAGCGTTTATATACTTGATGAAATTTCTAGTAACCTCTCGGCTCTCACACCAGTTTAAAATAGAAATTTATTTTTAAACTACACAAACCATACTTTTCAGAAATAAATTGACACTGACATACGATAGCGTTCAGTAATATGAGAAGTTATGAGAATGAAAAAAATAAAAATAAATTGTTTTATGTATTACAAAATTATACCATAATGCTTTACTTACCTATTATTGCTTTACTTTTTAAGTATTTAAAACTCATTGTTAATTATTTAATAGACTTACATGCATATATTTTACCCTTTACGTATTAGATATCTTACTGAGAGAAATAAGTGAACCTGAAAATTGTGTAAATTAAAATAATTATTTACATCTGAGAAGATTAGATGCCTAATTGAAAATTAAATTATCTATGTGCTTACTAAAAATATTGTTGACTGTTCAAGTGATAAATTAATATTGTAACAAGACTTAAGTCTGCGTCTTGCTTTATGTTTATGGTTTTTATTTATTATTATAATTATCATTTATCTGTGGTTTGTGTCTTTGACTCTTTGACTTTCTAAGTTTCTATCAATTATAAATTTTCATTTAATCTGTCCAGTTGTTTTGGAGTGATTTGGTCACAGACAGACAAATTGTAAAAAATTCGTCCTCTGTATTGTTAAAGTGATTAACAAAATATTTAATTTATAGATATTATATAAGTTAGAATTTTATTAAATGTATAGATAGATACATTTTACTCATTGTTTCTGTTATTTTTTAATTAGATGTATAAATATTATTTTTGTTTTAGTTGTTTATTTTTCTTTTTCTTGTCTTCTGCTTCTTATTTTTTTTGTTATATGTGAAAACTTGATTGGTTTATGTAATGTCTTGTTATTATTTATTTAATATCGTGCTATTTGTGGCATATGCCATAATACAGTTCTCCTAGTACGGCAATAGAGACTACCAGACGGCAGACCTTCTATGTTGACAAAAATATAAAATCAGTAATGATTGTTATGTATATATATAATATGTTTGTTTCTGTATTTAATATTGTTTACTGTAAATATTTTTTGGTCATAAAATATTATAATTACCATTAATAGCAGGTGTAAAACTAGTGAAATGATGGTAAAGCATTTCCAACTTTGTATTGTAAGTCTACTACTAAGTTAAGTTAGTTGAAGGACGATGTCTATATTTGAATTTTATTGTTATAAGAATTATTAATGTTCAAATAAATTATAATACATCATATATTTTTTTTATTTTTACCCTTTGCGCCTAAGTAAAAATATTAATGAACAATAATATGAATATATATATATATATATATATATATATATATATAGCTACGTATATACCTATATAGAAAGTTTCACACTATACAATAGAGATGGCGCTTTTTAAGCATTACCAGCTTCGACGACGAGTTGTACCTCTATTTATATATGTAGCAATATACTCTATGGTTTCTATTCACAAATCGCAAGTGTGACTTAAAATTTTTATAAGTTACTTTGTGTTCCAAAAATCTAAAATATGTCCGCAATAAGTTTATTAAACCCTAAAGCTGAATTTGCCAGAGCAGCGCAAGCTTTAGCAGTAAATATCAGCGCTGCGAAAGGTATTCAAGATGTGATGAAAACTAACCTCGGTCCTAAGGGTACAATGAAAATGTAAGTTTTATTCTTTTATATATAACTAAAATTGTAATAGAATTCCTAAATATTTATTTTTTTGCTGTCTTGTTATTGTTCGCAAAATTATAAGACAATTATTTAAACTTTCGTAACTATTGACGTTTAAAAAAACATGTGTGGTCTACCGGTTTGCAGTAATTCTAAAATATTAACTCAGTTTAAACTATGTTGTATCTTTATATTTTATTACTTTAATTCTGATATATAGGTTGGTATCCGGTGCGGGTGACATTAAAATCACTAAAGATGGTAACGTGCTATTACATGAAATGCAGATTCAACATCCTACTGCCTCCCTTATAGCTCGCGCTTCCACAGCTCAGGACGACGCAACAGGCGATGGAACTACTTCTACTGTATTATTGATAGGAGAGCTGCTGAAGCAGGCTGATATTTACATTAGCGAAGGTAAATTAGGAGACAGACATATATCAAAATAATAAACAACTTTTAACAAATAATTAAAAAAAATATGGTTGAACTGTACAATCCATGACTTCGATTTAAGGGAGGAGAGAGGGTGGGGGACAAGAGGGTTGAGAGGGGTCCCTTTAAAAGGGAAAATGCGGAGGCTAGTAGTTTTCGAGATATTTGATTATCAAAATTTCAATTTTTGAGGTTAATTTATTGAGAAAACAACTTTAAGCATTGCACTTAAGGTTCAATTTATATTACAACTAGAATAATTACCTAAACACAATTGGTGACAGTTTTAAGACAACTTTTGCATGTATAATAATAGGTATCGGAAAAGTGTCTATGGATTATGAAAATTTCCTTCTAAAAGTTCTAGCTGTTGTGGCACTGGTGTTGTGGTCACTGTTCTAACCTAAGCAACCTAGAAAGAAAGGTTTCTGCTAAAAAATAACCTAAACCTATTTTGATAAAGCTTTCCTGCGTTTCCACGCATGCAATTGTTTTTTATTTCCATAAATCACAATAGCAACTGACACTAAAACTGATATTTCAAATTGCTTGCAATTTGCTAATTCTGACATTGATATATATATATATATATATATATATATATATATATATATATATATATGATTGTATGTATAAATAAATCAAGATTTTAACTATTAAATTATGTATTTAACTACAATGATTGAAAATAACTCAGAACATATAATACTGTAACAAACTTTGTGAAAAACATTGATAAGTGTGTGTATAAATGTGGTTAAATTACATAAAAAGTTGAAACTTGAAAAATTTTATTTAACAAAACAATTTGTTTCCACGGTCTCAAACTTTATATATATATAGGCTTATAATAGAGATATCTATTAGTGAAAAAAATATGAAGTTTCAACTCGACGTCATAGATTGTACAGTTCAGCCAAAAATATGTACATTTCTTAAATGACTATTCATTTAAGAATTCTAAAATAAATTATATGTTTTAAAAAATTAATGCTAGTAAAGTTTTTATTGTATTTAAGTCAAGTTTGTACATAGACAAAAACAAATCTATCCCACAGGAACCATAGATTTTTCCAGTATAAAAAGTAACCTATGAACTATTCCAGATTATCTATGTGCCAAATTTCATCCAGATCCATTCAGCCGTACTGTTGAGAAAAAGTAACAACTCACAAACTTTCACATTCATAATATTAGTAGGATTTATAGACAACTAAAAAAAATATCAAACAAATAACTAATTATTTCATTACTTTTTAGGTTTACATCCAAGGATTATCACAGAAGGTTTTGATGTAGCTCGTACTAAAGCTCTTGAAGTTTTAGAATCACTTAAAATTCCTATTGATATTAATAGGGAAAATCTGATTGATATTGCTAGAACTTCCCTTAAAACTAAGGTAATTTATTGTTGAGTGTACAATTTATAGTAAATTTTTTGTAAGTTATGTATTTATCTTAGCTTGGTTTAGAAGATAGTATCATGGTTTTAACTATGGCACACCGCAACGAATTCATTCATTAATATATTTTCTCAGCCTTGCCTTCGTTTATGTTTGAAAAGTGTGAATGAAATATGTAACTATGAGAAAGTACCTACAGTATAAGTAACTGAAAAAAATGGACATAATGTTATAATAATAAGTAAATGTTGGGACATGAGCACACAGCACCATCTAGTTCCATGATAACCTACGAGGCTTGTGTTATGGATACCAGATGGTTGATACATTACACATATTGATATAAACTACACTACACATATAAACTTTAAATACATACTATATACATAACACATAAATATAAACACCCATGACTGGATTACAAACATTCGTGCTCATCACACGAATGAATGCCCCCGACGGGGCAGAGCGCGGGACTCGAACTCGCGACCGCTAGCACCAAAAAATAATGAAATGTAATATCTTTATAAGACACTATTATTTACATTTTTTTAAATTATCATCCATGTTTATAACGATATTTATAAATAAATTATGATTGTTTCACAATCAGGTGCATTCTAGTTTAGCTGATGTGTTAACTGATGCTTGTGTGGATGCAGTACTTGCGATCCGTACACCGGGAAAGCCTGTTGATTTGCACATGGTTGAACTGATGGAAATGCAACATAAAACTGCAACTGAAACAACTCTTATTAAAGGTAATAAGAGATAAAAGTGATGAGAGATAACTAAAATAAATCTAAGCTACTTCTTTACTAAAAATAATTTGCTCAAGTTTAGTATATAGGACATGGCCTCTGGAGGAGTGAGTTATGTTTTTGAATAGTTGATGGATGGGGAATATATAAAAAAAACGACTCACCTTTGCTTCGCTCGGGTTCGTCCCAAGCTTGATTCCCATACAAACTGTCATCCCCATTTTCATTCCCTTAAGGGATGATTCTCGGGATAAAAAGTGTCCTTTGTCCTTCCCAGGGTCTCAAACTATCTTCTTACCAAATTTCATCTAAATCGGTTCAGTAGATCCAGAGATTACCCCTACAACGTCACAAACTCACTAACTACCTCTTTATAATATTAGTATAGATTTACATAGATTCACTAGCCTTTACAGGGGGTCACTTTAGGGAGTGTAAATTCGAAATCGCGACCAAATTCGAGTGATCTTACTTGAACCGCCATCTTGATTATAAGGGGGAATAGTATTTCCTGAATATTTTGGAACTTGAGATTTAAAAACACTAACTCAGTGGCAAATAAAGTAAAATTGAATATTCTTTAAAGAGAAAGTTCTTTGGAATACTACGAATAAATAATAATTAGAATATAATAAATACTTAAATTAAAAAACAAATGTTGAATTTTTTACAGGTATTGTGATGGACCATGGTGCCCGTCACCCTGATATGCCGAAACGTGTGGAGAATGCTTATATACTTACATGCAATGTGTCCCTTGAATATGAAAAAACAGAAGTAAATTCAGGTTTCTTCTATAAATCAGCTGAGGACAGAGAGAAGCTGGTTGCTGCTGAAAGGGATTTTATTGACCAAAGAGTAAAAAAGGTAAGGTTTTCATTTATTTTTAATTTTGCCTAGGTCCAGCTTATGTAGGTTATCAAAGAAAAATAATGTGTGTATTAATAATAAATTAAGGCAGTCATAGCCTAATGTGCTCGATTGTGTTCGAGAGAACCTGGTAAGTTTTCGCAAGACACAAAGTCCACCTACCTGTAGGCCAACAGTTTGGACTATGGCCTGATCACCCTGATATTGAAGAGAGGCCTGTGGCCAGCAGTGGGACGTTGAAAAGGGCTGAATATATAATAATACATACATAATAATAAATTTAACAAGGTTCCTATTAAATATTATAAAGCACAAAAGTACACATATCTAGACATATCCAGTGTAATTAGAACCTGAACAAAGGTAGGGTGGGACAACTATTACTCCAGCGGTTCCCTATCTTTTCACATTGGATCACATGGGCACGGAATCCTAATTGATCATATTTTTTTTATGATCCCCATTTTGATAATAACTAAACTGATTGTGTTGTAGTTAGAATAATTTCTTGTTTGATTTGAAAGAACAAATCGTAAATGAAAAATGTTAATACTTATAATAGTACTTATCGTACCGAAAATATAACATAACTGTTTAATATGATATTTGAACATTTTTCACATATTTATTTATAATAGCACTAAAATTAGGCTGTATGTCTGACAACATTTTATTTAACTCTCGGACGGAACTCGGAACACCGGTGACCCGTCCACGGAACCCTAGGGTTCCGTAGATCACCTTTTGGGAACCCCTGTACTAAATATAATATAGAAAAAACTGTAGCTTTTCACATTGAAATTAATATAAAGTTTGATTCATCTTTGTTGTTTCATGTATTTACATTTGGTTATTGTCATTTAACAATCTGAATATTATTGTTGATTGATATTATTTATTATCTGAAAAGTTTAAAATATTGTAAATGCATGTACCTATTATGACAATATTTTTTTCCTGCATATTCAAAAAATGCATCCACTATTCATCATCTTTCTTAATTTATTTTTCTTATATTTCAGATTATTGCCTTGAAGAAGAAGGTGTGTGATGGAACAAATAAGTCATTTGTAGTAATAAATCAGAAGGGAGTGGACCCTTTGTCACTGGATGCTTTTGCAAAAGAAGGCATTATTGCTCTGCGTAGAGCTAAGAGGCGCAACATGGAGCGTTTGGCTCTCGCTTGTGGTGGTACTGCCATGAACTCTGTTGAAGAGCTCAATGAAGAATGCCTAGGGTATGCTGGGGTGGTGTATGAACATATTCTTGGAGAAGAGAAGTATACTTTTGTCGAGGAATGCAAAAATCCTCAATCAGTAACCATCCTTATGAAGGGCCCCAATAAGCACACACTTCTTCAAATCAAAGATGCTGTCCGTGACGGTCTCAGAGCCATCAACAATGCAATTGAAGATAAATGTGTGATTCCTGGTGCGGGTGCTTTTGAAATCAAGGCTAATATGGAACTTCAAAAGTTTAAAGATACTGTTAAGGGAAAAGCTCGTCTCGGCATTCAAGCATATGCCGAAGCATTATTGGTTATTCCTAAAACCCTTGCAGTTAACTCCGGATTTGATGCCCAAGACACAATTGTGAAACTGCAAGAAGAGTCTCGCTTAAACCCAGACCCAATTGGCTTAGATCTCAGTACTGGTGAAGCCTTCAAGCCTACTGACTTAGCAGTCTATGACAATTACATTGTTAAAAAACAAATCCTGAACTCCTGCTCCGTCATTGCTAGCAACCTCCTTCTTGTGGATGAAATAATGAGAGCCGGAATGTCCAGCCTCAAAGGATAATTGCTCTGTATTATAATGTGTTTACAGTTACTTGCTTTACTTATCTTTAACATTTATTTTCATGCATTTACTGCACTCTATTTGATTCTTTAAGTTACATTAAATTTTAATTGTATTTCCATTGGTAATTAACTAATGCTTTGAAAGCTTGAAGAGTATTGTATCATTATTCTAAATAGAATAAAATAAATATACTAAATATTATTATTTTTTAATTTATTTATATACATACTACATAGCATTAACAAAGTTAAAAATTTCCTTTTAAAATGAAAAAAAAAGCTAGAAGATAGCCACCATAATTGCAAAAGAAATTGAGATATATTTGCGGGTTGGCGGACTGTACATGTTTTCGAAAACTTGCTAGGGTCTCTCAGACATGCAGGTTTCCTCACGATGTTTTCCTTCACTGTAAGACATGTGGTAATCATGTTGGAAATAGTTCGCTTTTGAAAATATCAGAGGTGTGAGGCGAGACCCGGGATTTGAACCCGCTTCACTCGATTTTCCAAGCGAGCGCGTACCACTGGGCTACCACTGAATTTAGTATTAATAACATAACATTTATTTTTAAAGATTTACAGTATACTCGTACTATATTTTAATTTCATCGAGATCTAATATTCGGGGTAAAGAATAATAAAAAACAATTGACACATGAAATTGATCACATTTATTAAGGATAGATGGTAGACAACACACTAGCTCAGTAGGTATCTAAGTCTAAAAATATTTTTTGTTGCTTAGCAGTGACTAGTTTCTGAATTTGATTATTTTAATAATTACTTATATAACAATAACAAAAACTCAGTTTCAAATACTTCTTATATTAAAATATAATAAAAAATGTAAAAACATCATCATCATCATCATGTTCAGCCTGTTTTCGTCCACTGCTGGACATAGGCCTCTCCTATGGCACGCCATTGAGCTCGATCTTCAGCTCTACGCATCCAACCGCTGCCAGCCAGTCTACGTATGTCGTCACTCCACCTAGCTGGAGGGCGTCCTACACTACGTTTGCCGAGCCGTGGTCTCCACTCTAGAACCCGTCTACTCCAACGGAATAACATACAACGTAAAAACAACTATGATTAAAATAAACCCTATTAAATAAAACGTTAAATGCGTATTAATTTTATTAACATAATTTTAAAACAAACTCGTGCGAAGCGTGAGAAATCACATTTAAACAATACTTGCTCTAGTACATTACTATACCTAATTAATATTCATATTACAGTGCGAATACACGCTTACACGGATCGGTATGGAATGACAGTCGACAGTAAATTACACCTAAAAATCTATACAGATAAATAAAATTTAAGCGTCTGTCTGTTTGTAATGTTAAAATAACAGCTTTATACTAAATGCATATGGAAATATATACGGCACCTATAAGAAAGAAAAACACATCTTTTAAAATTTTTGTCTGTTTGTTCCAGCTAACCTTTGAACGGACTGATTGTGTAGGGACTTTCACTAGCACTGTAATTGATGTTATAAGGAGTAACTTACGCTATTTTTATTTTAGAAAACGAATTAGGGTTCCGCTCAAAAAAATCAAAACTTCGCTCGGGTAAGTCTCTAGTGATTAAATAAAGATTACTGTTCTACCTTCAAATAGCATAAATTTTAACTAGCATGGAGGGTATTGTTTACTTAAACATTGATAGCTTTACTTTTATCTTTTATATACTTGTGTATCAATCGTTCATTGTGTGTGATATTATTAAAAATATATTCTTAACATAAGCAGGAAATAACTAGAATTACATAGTGAAGTGATCGATTATATAATTTAAGTAATCACGCTTATTCGACAGGTTGAACATTTTTTTCTTTCCGAGTAAAAGAGAAATAAAAATCGATTATCTTTATTACACATTCAAGGTTATTTTTTAATTTGAACACAAGTCATTTCGAACTCGGCACTTCAAAGCATGTTTTCTTATCGTTTATATCGATATAATCCTTGAGACTAACAATTAATATCCCATAAAACTGTTTAAAATTTTATTAATGTTATTTTTATTAAAAAAATGCTACTTCTACAAAAAAAATACCATAAAAAAAAATAATGTTGTTTTGTAAAAACAGCTAATATTATTTAACTATGCTATATAAACTTCAGGAATGATACTATATTATACATACAACTTTGGAAGATTATTATAAAACATTTACAATACCACATATTATGGTAAAGCATGATAAAAATGGAAAGCATGTTGTATGGAAAAATAATGTTTTAGACACTTTAAATCTATAAATAGTAATATCATTCTAATAATTTGTGTCAGCTATATTATATTTTGAAGTATCAATATCATTCTTTTAAAGTAATATTTACAGTGATTTTCTACTTTTATTGTTTTAATCAAGTAGAATTGACTTAGACATATAATATTCAATAAAATCAGATTTTTTTAATAACTATTGTAAAAGGGATTTTTTTTAACCATATAATTTTTTATAAAATAAATTAAGATTATATTATGTAGATTTGAAAATTAACACACAGTTAATTAATACTTATTTTGCCACACATAGTCAAGAAAAGAATCAAGTATCACAATGACTTGCTAAAAGAATGGATATTAATATGTATTATGCAGTAAAGAAGTACTTAGTTGTTTTGTTTCTGAGCAATAGCTGCTCGCTCATTGACATCAATAATGGACAGGTTGATAGATGCAACAATGCCATGGAGAACAGAGATGGCAGCCTTCACAACAGCTACAGGCATTGAAAGCAAGGCAATCAGTTTGAACAAACCCATTCCCAACACTGAAAATAAAATGTTGTGATCATTAATAACTGTATAAGAATTCACAAAAATAAACAAAGCATTGTGTTTTTTACCATTAATATAGATTGGTTTAAGTATTGCCTAGATTCTTAATTTGATTTATTCCATTAAATATTAATGGGAAAAGAGAAAAATAAAAATGGGAAAGTTTGAATGGATGTCTGTACTCAATCACAAAACATCCACAATGGATGAACGGATCCGGATTAAATTTGGCACAGAGATAGATTATTGTCTGGAATAGGCAATAGCACATAATTTGGATCTTGAATCCGGGATTGAATTTCCCGTGGGATAATTTGTTTTTGTTCTTCACTAACTAGTTTGTCATAAACATGTTTAGCAAACACCAATCAGTCAATTAATTTAACATTTGCTAATTATGTGCCTTTTTAATAAGTGTTTGATTTTCATTTAGATTTTTCCATTTGTTTTGTCTTAAATATAAGTTGTTGAGGTTCTTATTTTTAGAACAAGTGAGTAAAATGAAGCTATATAATACCTGTTGGTCCTGAATGGAAGTACATGACATATAGAGCTGCATAGAAGGCTTCATTTCCAGCACACATAAAAAATAGGACATTCTTGTTTGTGTAATACAAATGCATTATAGGATTCTCAGACATATCAATAAATTTGTGTGAAGTTTTCCCTTGCAATGTGGATGTGTGCAAATAGAGCCAATGACATGTAATGTCGATAACCATAGAGATTTGAAACCAGAAAGTGTATTTTGGGTAAAATGTGGCTAAAGTCATCATAAGGCCAGCAGTCCCTGCTCGATCTGTTAGTTGATCTAACATTGCCCCAAATTTAGTACCTGAAACCAAATATTTTTGAAATAATAATAATAATTCATTTGTTTTTGTAAAGAGTACATATTTATTGTTTTCATTGATATCAAACAAATAATTATAATATATATGTGCCTATAAAATATTGTTCAAAAAATATAATTTCTATACTTAGTCAATAAAAGCTTTTATTTTGTAGTAAATTGAGTAGATTATCTGAGATCTAACAATGTAGTATTAATCTTATAATAAATAGTAAATGAGCTATTCTTATATGTATATAAAATTAATTTTGTGCAACTGGTCCAATGATTTGGATCAAATTTTGTATTTAAATAAGGTTTTGCTTTTTAAGTTTATCTAATAGGTATATTTTCAGAAAAAAACACTTTTTTACAGATATATATTTCAAAACAACAGAGCTAGGCCCGTGCAGATACTGTTTATCTAAGATGTATGAATCTATAAGAAATCTTTTTTTTAATAAATGATTATATAAATTTAAGTAGCTTTTAGTTTTCAATTTAAATTGCCTAATAGTAATAAAGTACTCCCAAAAAGTAATATGTTATAAAAGTAAAGCTATTTTGTCAAAAACACTATCATAATATTCTTAATCTATAAAGAGTAAGTAGTAATTGGATTTAATGATGCCATATAACTTACTTTGATTAAAATACCGTGCGGCATGTCCGTCAAAAGCATCAAGCAATGCAGATGTAATATAACAAGTACACGCTAATACGCAATGGGTCGGCATATAATAAAACGATATTATAGCTAGGACGACTCTCCCGAATCCTGAAATAACATATGTAAACAATGACGTAAATTTATCTCAAAAAAAACATGCATTCATTTCATAAAAGAGAATTTAAATAGCATACCAATTATATTAGGAACAAACAAGAAGATATTTTCTTTAGTTTCAGTCATTTTATTAGTAAGCTTATACAATTTATATATAGTTAAAAGGATATAATTGTGAATGGCGTAGAAACAGTCACTGTGAGAATCAAAATACCAAAACGATCACTACACTCCAAAAGACTGAAACTACAGACTTGAGAGTACCGACTGTAAAATGAAATTTTAACAACTTCGTTACGTATAAATAAAACTACGAGTACGAGTTATGTATAATGTACGATTCTATGATCTATCCCGTTAATATCCGGCGTTCCAAGAACTTAGAACATTAGAAGTTTGATGTTTAGAGTTGTCAAAATTGACATTTATAAATTATTGAATTTTAGGGTTGTAAAACACGAAGTATGGAGGGTTCCATTACACGAAGTAAAAATAAAAGTGTAGTTACCAATTTGTAGACGACCTAAAGGCGTGCTAAAATATTTGATTAACAAAATTTTTTGTCCCTCAATATGATGTGTAAACAAATGATAATATTAACTCATGTACATTATTTATAAGAGATTATAGTTGGTACGATTATTCGCTATTCGCCACTCGCCAGTACTTTGTTGTCCAATGGAAGAAATTAATTCAAATCAATTTTCTTGTCAATGGCTTCAAAGAAATAAGAATATAATATGAAAAACAAATTAACATAATATCTACTATACATATTATAATAAACATTTTAGCTTTACAATCTTGTGTGATAGCCCACACCACATGGATAGATATTCGCATTTCGGAGCGGCTCAAATCCAATGTAGCACACACAATGAAGAACAGGCGAATTTCTATGGACGCGCGGACCGATGTGTACCAGCCTCAACACCTTACACTCATGCACAGAATAAATAGTGTTTTAATTGTCGGGTTTGCCGCAAATTCTAAATTCAAAAATTATGCAAGCAACTAAATTTACGTTTATAAATGTATTTTATCTTCTTAATTTTTTTAAGGCAAATCCCATAAACGGGTAGGACCTATTTGTGAAATTATTTCTTTGCCACTTACAAAATCATTAATCTGGCTGTTTCTAAAGATAAAACATATATATATTAAAATTTCTTTAAGCTTCTTTTAAATTATTGTTAATTAAATTAGTAATAGTACATATTTCTTTATATTAAAAAAATATATTGTATATGTATTCACTTGACTTCCAATCAGTGTTGCTAGCTGGAATAAGTCAATTACAGTCTGCAATTTACAGATAACTTTTTTCTCCGCTTTAGATTGGGGGCGCGAGTGTAGTAGACTAAAGTCACCATTATCGCAAAAATTATAAAAATGTTAGCTGAAACCTGTCGAAAATGATGAATTCGGTTTCGCAAAGTATAAGAACTATAGCTATAGTTTAGATAGTACATACCAAAATGGCTTAATGATTTATTTGTGTACATATTTTCAAGAAGTAGAGTGATTTCAGTGTGCAAAAGTCATAAGACTTGTGTCATCTGTCTGCTCTTCCTTCAAGATGGCTCCTCCACCGGAGTATGATAAGGAACCAAAAGCACCGGATAAAAGTATCGCTAATATTTCTATAGACGATTCAAAAGTACTTTACAATCATATTAAGGATCATACAACGAACCCTGACCACAAAGCCGTGACAGCGAGTGCCAACGAAGTAGAGGTAGGATGACCTTTTCCGATATTTACGCCTGTAGCATTTCTGTGACCGTCTTTCTTTTATTTATTTGTATGCACTGTTATGGAACTTTATTGATATTATAATATCACATTAATATTGAATGTAATTACTTAAAAAGTGATCTAAAAACTGTGAGTAACGAAAAATGGCGAAGGATAATATATACGTCAAAAAAATAATCTTTTAGATTTATATTTCATTCTTTATATGTCTATACTAATATTATAAAGAGGTAAAGTTTGTGATCTTGTGAGTTTGTGGGTTTGTGAGTTTGTGACGTTGTAGGGGGTAATCTCTGGATCTACTGAACCGATTTTCAAAATTCTTTTACCAATAGAAAGCCACGTTCTCTCTGAGTGTCATAGGCTTCGTATTCGTATATATTAACCCAAAAAATGAAAAGGCTTTTTCGTGGTAGTCGGATTTGCAAAGTAAGTCGGAGAAAAAACGGTCGAACGAAAACGTTTCTTACGAACGCTGCCTTAACGATGAGAGATATATGATTATGTTCTAGAGAAAAGTTGTAGAGCTTAATAATGCCTACAAAAAAGTCAGCGACAGCATATGTCTAACTTTTATATTTAAGTCACAAAAAGTAGTTTTTTATATTAAAAAAATAATTTAAATCGGTAGGTCATGTTTATTGGTCATATTATCAACAATTATAAATTCTTATCAAAATAAGTAAATTTATCGTCTAAAATGTTTAAAACAAAAGACTTTTCCCTTTTACTGCATATAATTTGGACAAATGGTTAAAGAGATAATACAACATATTCGTAGGTATGGACGAACCCGAGCGAGCTGTTTGTCTGTTTTCCTGTTTGTACGGGCTAATCTCCGAATCTATTGGACCGATTTAAATGAAATTTGGCATGATGGTACCTTATATCCCCGGGCAACATCTTAGATACTTTTCATCTCGGAAAATTAAAAAGTTTCCGGGGGATAGTTAAAAAACTATAACAACTTATACAGCTTAGTACACAAAAACTACTGATTGGATTTTAATGAAACTTTACAATAATATAGTTCGTACATGACAAAAACAAATCAGCTACTTTTCATCCCGGAAAATTAAAGAGTTTCCGTGGGATAGTCAAAAAACTACAGTAACTTACACAGCTTAGTACACAAAAACTACTGATTGGGTTTTGATGAAACTTTACAATAATATAGTTCATACATCAGAATAGCAAATAGGTTACTTTTTATCCCGGAAAACTGTACTGTTCCCGTGGGATAGATGTTTGTGTTTATTTGTAACGTTTTATGTACACAACATAGGCCCCAAAACAATAGTTATTAAAAAGATTGTCTGTTTGTCTGCTTGCCTGTATGTCTGTTTGTCTGTTTTTGCGTAAGCGTTTCACGCAAAAAGTAATGTACTGATTTCAACGAAATTTGGTGAAGTGATAACTTATTACTCGAGTCAACATTTAGGATACCTTTTGTATGTATGTATGTATTTATGTATGTATGTATTCAGCCCATTTTAACGTCCCACTGCTGGGCACGGGCCTCCCTTTAGTACGAGGGGGATCAGCCCATTGTCCACGCTGGCCAAGTGCAGGTTGGCGGACTTCACATGTCTTTTGAAAACTTGCTAGGTTCTCTCAGACATGCATGTTTCCTCACGATGTTTTACTTCACCATTAAGACAAGTGGTAATTGTGTTAGAAATGATTTGCATATGAAAATATCAGAGGTGCGAGACCCGGGATTTGAACTTGCTTCACTCGGTTTCCCAAGCGAGCGCGTTACCACTGGGATACCACTGCCTAGATACCTTTTACTTCAAGAAAATCTTTCTTTCCTACGGGAAAATACAATAACTGGTTTTATCGAGTCCTCCCTAGAAACCTTCCGCTGTCTATGCTTTAAGACATACATACATTACAATCATTAAAACAATATACTAAAAAATCGTAGGTCTTGAAAAGTCCTACAGAAAAGTCCTGAATTGTATATGTCTATCTCCTAAGTTACACTCGCAATATTTATTCTTATCTATACGTATAATGAAACTAACTTAGTCAAATCGATGTGCGCATTTCACGCAAAAAGTACTCTACCGATTTTGTATTGTGATAAAACTTAGTACTCGGGTCAACATTTAGGATACCTTTTACGACAGGCAAATTATTCATTCCCATGGGAAAACACAATAACTGGTTCTATCGAATCGTCCGTAGATATGGTTAACATTGGCTCAACTTTAAAAGATAGATCAAAACATTGTAGAAGAAAATTGTAAGTCTTAAAAAAGTCTATAAAAAAGTTCTCAATAGTATATGTCTATCTCCTAAGGTACACTCGCTATAACTATTTTCATTATTATATGTTACTGTTTTATTATACGTTATTTATTCTATCTATATATATAATAAAACTGTAGAGGTTAGAAAAAAATGCTAAAAACCGAGTCAGTTCTCTTCTTACATCCGAAAAGAAGAGAAATCCAGTTTTTTTTTTAATTTTTTGTTTCTCTGTCTGTTTGCCTTTTTGTACGGGCTAATTTCCGAAACTATTGAACCGATTTAAATGAAATTTTGAATGGTAGCACCTTATATCCCCGGTCAACATCTAAGATACTTTTCATTCCAGAAAATTAAAGAGTGTCCGTGGGATAGTTAAAAAACTATAGTAACTTATATAGCTTGGTACACAACAACTTATGCACCTAATTTAGTAAAATTTGGCATGCTGATACCTCATATTGCCGGTCAAACAACAGGTTACTTTTCATCCCGGAAAAATAAACGGTTCCCGTGGGCTACATCTGTTTGTGCTTTTCTAGAGGCGAACCCGAGCGAAGCGAGGGTGAGGCGCTAGTATTATATAAATCTTCAATATTTCATATTTATTGTTTGAACATTCTACTTTATTACATTTACGATCGCATTTTTCTTTATTAAATATCCTATATCCTGATGATTCATAATGTAATGTTAACTTTTCATAACTGATTTATATCAATACTAGATTTTGCCTGCGGGGGTACCCTCGCGTGGCGGGTACATAAATAACATGTAGCCTAATAGCTATGAATCCAGGTTATATTATCCCAATATCTATACCAAATCATTCTTGATGACTTAAATGTGTTGAGCTGTTACAGCATGAAGAAGTATAAAACACACGCTACCTTTTGCATTTGTATTATAAATTATTAGTGTGATTATATAAACCACACCGACAAAAGTAATAATGAATGTTGAATTATTATCATTATTTATAAAATTCATTTAAAAGTTTTTAAATAGCTAATTCCATAATATTAATTTTTTTATGACAAAATATATTACTATATTAATATATTCAGTTGTATTTATCTAGTATAAAGTTAATTGATGTTAGTCAATCATTCTATATTAACACTTAAATATTGGGGTGATAAGGCAAATTGATTCTCTTAAACTTAATCACTTTTGGATTTAATAAAATATTAAAACTATAATTATTATGAAATAATCTAATTGACTTGGTTATTTATTTATCAAAGTATCATGTTAGAACAATTTAATTATGTAATATACTTTTTATAAATAATTTAATTTGAAAAATGTGGCCATGATGTCAATTGTCAATTGCTATAATTTGACTATTATTCATTAAACATTGTAATTATTTATGACATTTACTGTAAAAATTGCTACGACATATTTCATAGGATTATTGACTTTAATAGGATTCTACAGGTGGCATATGGAGTAGATGAACATTGAGTGGCTTCAGGGAGATACATAACCAAAAAAGAATTGTATATATTTATATTTTTTGCATTACATTTGCACATTCATACTCTTTATATACACCTTTTACAAGCACTTTTTAATTGTCACGTCAGTGTAGTAAGAACATCTCTTAGCCCATAAACTACTTTTGCTCGGAAGAGTCAACAAATGACAGAGTTGCTCTTTTGAAAATTGTAATTACTGTTTTATGTTATATTTATACTAGCGACAAACCCTCGCTCCACTCGGGTTCGTCCCAAGCTTGCTTCCTAATACAAACGTTCATCCCAATTTTCACCCCCTTAAGGGATGATTTCTGGAATAAAAAGTATCCTATATCCTTCCCAAGACCTCAAACTATCTTCTTACTAAATTTCATCTAATCAGTTCAGTAGATCCAGAGATTACCCCCTAAAATCTCACAAACTTTACCTCTTTATAATATTAATATAGAAATTATGTTATATTTATACTAGCGAGTCACCCTCGCTCCACTCGGGGTCATCCCTAGCTTGCTTCCCAATACAAACTTTCATCCCAATTTTCACTCCCTTAAGGGATGATTTCCGGGATAAAAAGTATCCTATGTCCTTCCCAGGGTCTCAAACTGTCCTCTTACTAAATTTCATCTAAATCAGTTCAGTAGATCCAGAGATTACCCCCTACAACCTCACAAACATTACCTCTTTATTATATTAATATAGATAAATATAACTATCTTACATTTTGACAAAACTGTAAATTTCTTTTTTAAATATTGTTGTCATGATGAAGAAATTGAACAACTAAATGTCAATGTGTCAACTCATTGTTTTATTTTTTCATCTAAATTTTTCAGTTTTCCATACAATATTTCAATTATTTCTTTCACCTAAACCTTCTCCTGACAATTACAAACGCAACAAAAAAAGAATTAGCCAAATAGGTGCAGCCATTCTGAAATAGATTGCTTACATATATTTGGCATTATAAAAAGTTTTGTGAACAAGTCCTACAGTGCCATGCATTTTTAACTTGGACTAATCATTATAATATAAGAAAACTTTTGTCATCATTGAGTATGATATAAAAAATTGTACCCACTCAATGAGGAAAGGTATTTATATAAGCTAGAGACATTTTTCAAATCATACTGGTAATTCCAGAGATTGACATTTTCCTTTTATTTTTACTATTATTACATGAAGTGCAAATATAGGACAGAATTTTTATTAATAAACTAGGAGAACCCGTGGCTTCGCTCGC